TCTCATGAACTGTGCCATGGAGGCCAGGAGTTCTTCTGTTGCCTCTCCAACTTCTTCCTGAGGTACCTTCGCCATCCTCTCCTGTCACCATCCTCAGGCTCCGAGTCTGAACTGTCTGAGTCCCCTCCTGGGTTGGGAGCGCCGCCAACTGGGGGGACAATTCCATCTCCTCCACCATTACCCGCTGGTTCTGGTTCTGGTTTTCTCCACCAGGGTTTCCTTCTGGCTGGAGGTTCCTCCTAGGTGACTCCGGGGGTGGTGAGCCTCTGTGGGATTCTGGGGATAACCCCTGGCGAACCCAGGCTGGAGGGAGCCCGGAGGGACCACTCCTGACCGGTGTCTGGGAGTAGTAATCGTCGTCTCCTATAGGTTGTCGGGGGGCCTTGCTAGGCCGCCTGCCAACGGGCTTGATGGGGCTCTCTGAGGAGGTAAAGGTGAGCCTCCAATGGCCGCTGGCATCATCAGGGGAAGTGTCCTCTGCCTGATAGACCTGACTGGAAACGCTGCAAAGGGGTTCACCCTTTGGTGGAAGGTTCTCAGGGCCGCTCTGGATGAGGCCCTGGAGTTTTGCGGGGGTGCGGGATTGGGGACAGGTGCTGGTGTAGGCATCCTGGCGATGGAGAGCCTTCCTTCATTAATGGCTCTCTGGATGTCTTCCAGGAAGTTAGGGGGCATCGCCGGGTTTGTCCATTCAATGTCCTCCATCTCATCCGTTCCTAAGTCATCTCTCTGAGCATAACTCTGAAGTTGTGCCTGGACTGAGGAGACTTGTTCTTGCATATAGCCGAAGGCATTCCGGAGCAGGACTGCCTCAGCTTCTTGTCTTTCTTGCACCAAGGCTAGCGCATTGCCGGCCTTGATGACTTCCTGTTGCAGGCTGTGCTTCAGGTAGCGCTGCAATTCCGCAAAGAAGTCCTGTAGGGTGACTTCGTCGGTATCTTGCCAGGTGGGCTCACATCCGGGGATGTAGGACTGGAGCGCCGTCCTGGGCTTGTGGATCAACTGTGTCTGTCCCTCTTGGAATTCTAAAGCTGCCGGTTGCCATTCAATCTGAAGAGGCGCTTGGGGAGCCGGGAGGGCGGACATGTTGTGAGAGGAAAGAATAATCTGAAGGTGATTTGAGCACTAAAGATTATCTGTAACGGGGGCAGCCTATCTATGTATCGCTAGAATCCAATAGAATAGATGCGGCCGTGCAAGATAGAAATCAGGTTTAGATTTATTCAAAGATACTATCGCTAGAACTCAATAATCTTTAAGGGCTCTGCTACCGATAAAATGGTCTGCTCGAAGATGAGGATCAGGTCAGTTGGGCGGGAATGATCCTGAGTACTTATACTCCAAAGGATTCTATTCTCTGCTCCTACTTCCTTACTAAGTTCCGGTGCTGCCTCCTAGTGGAAGGGAAGCAATACCATCGCTACCCCGCTTCTCTCTAAGCGTCAGCGAGTGCTTCCGATTCCGAAGGCAACCACCCTTAGTCAAAGCCTTTGTAACACCTGCAGCCTTTGTTGCCACACAACTAGGGGCCTGCATGAATGAGCTGCCGCTCAGGTGTAAGCTTAATCATTGCTGTAGAGCTTCCGCTTATTGTAGACTTCCCAGGCATAGTCTCTTCCACTGCTGGCGGACTTCCAATGCTCAGAGGATGTGGAGGATCGCTGAGCACTCAGAGCTTCACTCTGGCTAGCCTTCTAATCATTGGCGAGGCACAGACTCGTCAGTCATTGCTCCCATGAGTAGATCCTCTTCCTAGCGCTCAGAATGTAGTTACTCTGACAGTTGGTAGCTAACCACACTGCCGGTACTTGCATGTCACTGTGCAACTGGCTTCTAACAATAACTCTCAGCATGTAACCGGGCCCTGTGTGTACTCATACACCAGACAGTTGAAATGGCTCCGTTACACAGAGGATGTAGAGGATCGCCGAGCACTCAGAGCTTCACTCTGGCTGGTCTTCTCATCATTGGTGAGTCATAGACTCGTCAGTCATTACTCCCATGAATAGATCGTCTTCCTAACGCCCAGGATGTAGTTGCTCTGACAGCTGGTAGCTAACCACACTACCGGTACTTGCATGTCACTGTGCAACTGGCTTCTAACAATTACTCTCAGCATGTAACCGGGCCCTGTGTGTACTTATACACCAGACAGTTGAAATGGCTCCATTACAATCTCTTTATACCAGATGATGGAAGAAGAAGATGTAATGTATCAATTGGCCACTTCAGTATGGCATAATGGGGACAGAGGAGATATTGCTGAGAGGATACCTCTCCGCTACATGGAATAGGCTGATGTATTCAGTCAAGAGAAGATACAGGAGCTGCCTCCGCACTACCGAAATGATTTGAAGATCAATCTCTTGCCTGGTACCGTTCCCCCATTCGGCCCGCTTTACCCATGTTCCGCTCCAGAGTTGAAGGCCCTTCAGGAGTACCTAGACAAAGAGTTGTCTTTAGGAAAGATCTCCAGATCTAACAGCCCAGCAGCAGCACCCATATTGTTCATACCTAAGAAGGATGGGATATGGCGAATTTGTGTTGACTACAGAGGTTTGAACAGGGTCACTGTCAAGGAGAAGTACCCGCTGCCTATCATGAGCGAGCTCAGGGATAGGTTGTTCAAGGCCAAGATCTTCACAAAGATAGACCTGAAGAATGGCTTCAATTTGATCAGGATAGCAGAAGGGCATGAATGGAAAACCGCTTTCAGAACCCGCTATGGACTGTATCAGTATAATGTGATGCCATTTGGTCTATGCAACGCCCCTTCCGCCTTCCAGGCAATGATCAATGATGTGCTAAAGGAACTACTGGATGAAGGAGTGGTTGTCTATATCGACGAGATCCTCATCTATTCGGAGACTGAGGAAGAGCATGAAAGGCTAGTTGAGAAGGTCCTACAGAAGCTCAGAGAAGCAAAACTGTGTGCCTCCATCAGCAAGACATCCTTCCACGTCCGAGAAGTAGAATACCTGGGCTATCACATCTCGGAAAAAGGAGTGTCTATGTCAGAGGATAAGGTGGAGGCGGTTCAGGAATGGCCAGTACCCCGAAATATTAAGGGAGTGCAAGGCTTCCTGGGATTTGCAAACTTCTATCGCCGCTTCATTGAAGGCTTCAGTAAAGTTTGCAAACCTCTGACCGACCACTTGCAAAATGACAAGAAATGGTATTGGACCGCAGCCTGCAAACAAGCATTTGAGGAACTCAAGAGGCTATTCACAAGCGCTCCAATCCTTCTCCATTTTGACCCTAGCAGAAGAACTGTGGTTGAAACTGATGCCAGTGACTTTGCCAAAGGAGCGGTGCTCTCTCAGTATGGGGAAGATGGGAAACTACACCCGGTAGCTTTCTATTCTAAGAAATTCTCTCCGGCTGAGATCAACTATGACATTCATGATAAGGAAATGGGAGCTATTGTAGCTTCTTTCCGGGAATGGGAGCATATGCTCAAGAGTTGTGAGCATGAGATCACGGTTTTCACAGACCACAAGAACTTGGAGTACTTCAACTCTACCAAAGTTCTCACTAGGCGGCAAGCTAGATGGTCTGAGGACCTAGCAGGCTACAATTTCAAAGTTGTCTACAGACCGGGAGAAAAGAACGGCAAACCTGATGTGCTATCTAGGCGTTGGGACCACCGCCCTGAAGAGGGGGGTGAAACCTTGCGGCCGGAGCCACAGATGTTTTTTCGGCCAGGTCAATTGGTTTTGGATCCTCTTAAGCTAGCGGCTGTCAGGGTGAATCAATTGCAGAATACATTCTTAGAGCGCCTATCTGCGGCAGCTAAAGAGGATGGAATCTGGCAGGAACTGCACCGCTCCCTGGTTGAAAGGAAACCAAACTTGGACCAGAACTTGTCTGTCAAGGACGGTCTCATCTTCTACAAGAATCGATGGTATATTCCCAAAGACAAGAAGCTTCAGATGGATATCCTGACCGATACCCATGACTCCAAAGTGGCAGGCCATTTCGGCCAGTTCAAGACATTAGAGCGGGTGGAAAACAACTTCTTTTGGCCCAACATGGATAAAGATGTTGAGGAATATGTCCGGAGCTGTGACAGCTGCCAGAGGAATAAGACCTCAAGACTGTAATGGGGGCAGCCTATCTATGTATTGCTAGAATCCAATAGAATAGATGGGGCCGTACAGATAGAAATCAGGTGCAGATTTATTCAAACAGAATATCGCTAGAACTCAATAATCTTTAAGGGCTCTGCTACCGATAATAGGAGATGAAGATGAGGATCCGGACAGTTTGGGCGGGAATGATCCTGAGTACTTATACTCCAAAGGACTCTATTCTCTGCTCCTACTTCCTTACTAAGTTCCGGTGCTGCCTTCTAGCGGAAGGGAAGCAATACCATCGCTACCCCACTTCTCTCTAAGCGTCAGCGAGTGCGTCCGGTTCCGAAGGCAACCACCCTTAGTCAAAGCCTTTGTAACACCTGCAGCCTTTGTTGCCACACAACTGGGGCCTGCATGAATGAGCTGCCACTCAGGTGTAAGCTTAATCATTGCTGTAGAGCTTTCGCTTATTGTAGACTTCCCAGGCATAGTCCCTTCCACTACCGGCGGACTTCCAATGCTCAGAGGATGTAGAGGATCGCCGAGCACTCAGAGCTTCACTCTGGCTGGCCTTCCAATCATTGGCGAGGCATAGACTCGTCAGTCATAGCTCCCATGAGTAGATTCTCTTCCTAGCACTCAGAATGTAGTTACTCTGACAGCTGGTAACTAACCACACTGCCGGTACTTGCATGTCACTGTGCAACTGGCTTCTATCAATAACTCTCAGCATGTAACCGGGCCCTGTGTGTACTCATACACCAGACAGTTGAAATGGCTCCATTACACTACTCCTCTCTTCCAGGATCTTGGTCTCCGAGATCTATAACCTGTATCTATTGCTATGCTATGTGACAAAGAAACTCCTTTGGTGTGGAAGGGGACGAGAATCTAAAGGAACTGCTACTGACCTTGAGCCCTCTTGTTTCTGGGCTTCTTAGAACACCTCATATGGAAATCTCGGAGGGCTTCTTCAGCACTCTTTCTGAGATGCTCCCAGGGTTCCCATGTAGCGTCCTCATTCTCATACCCTTCCCATAGCACCAGGTATTCCACCCTTCTCCTCTTCTTATTGACTCGGCTATTAGCTACCTCCCGGACGATCCAGTTCTGTTCTCCTGCAATTTCCTCAGGTTCCGGCGGGGGAACTCTTCTCTCGGGATCCGCTAGCGCTCTATAGGGTTCTAGGAGAGAGACATGGAAGACAGGGTGGAATCCCATTTGCGGGGGAAGAGAGAGCCTGTAGGCACAGGTACCAATAGCTTCTAAGACCTTAAAGGGTCCTATCTTCTTCTGATCCAATTTTCCCAAAGGCCGCTTTGTTTGCACATTGCGCCGGTCCAACATAACTTCATCTCCAGGCTTGATTTCAGGTGGTGCCAGGGCATGTGCATCATACCACCGGGACATCCTTAGTCTAGCCTTTCCCAAGCTTGCATTCATAGCCTGCCAGATAGATTCCCATTGAGAAACCATTACCTCGCTTGCTGGATTGTTCCATTCAGCACCCTCCTTTGGGGCCGGCCAGTTGGTCCTGGGTTCATAACCATAGTTGGCATAGGAAGCCGATACTTTGGTAGATTCAGAGACCGCCGAGTTATATGCATACTCTGCCAAAGGCAAGAGGTCTGCCCAGTCATCCTGTTGATAGGAACAATAACTCCGCAAGTAATGTTCCAGGGTCTGGTTAACTTTTTCTGTCTGGCCGTCTGTTTGGGGGTGGAAAGAAGTGGACATCTTCAGCTTCACATTGAGGAGGCTCATGAGAGATTGCCAAAAGTGAGAGATGAACCTGCTGTCTCTGTCCGAGACTATGTAATTAGGTAACCCATGGAGTCTCCAGACTTTCTTCAAGAACAACTTAGCGAAATCTTCCGTCTTGTTGAGTGTAGGAAGTGGGATGTAATGTGACATCTTTGAGAAGCGGTCTCCGGTAATCCCACAATAAAGTCCATAGAGATGGAGGTACATGGCCGATAAGGTATTTTCAGTGGTTGGAGCATACCAAACTTCTTATGTCTTGAGGTCTTATTCCTCTGGCAGCTGTCACAGCTCCGGACATATTCCTCAACATCTTTATCCATGTTGGGCCAAAAGAAGTTGTTTTCCACCCGCTCTAATGTCTTGAACTGGCCGAAATGGCCTGCCACTTTGGAGTCATGGGTATCGGTCAGGATATCCATCTGAAGCTTCTTGTCTTTGGGAATATACCATCGATTCTTGTAGAAGATGAGACCGTCCTTGACAGACAAGTTCTGGTCCAAGTTTGGTTTCCTTTCAACCAGGGAGCGGTGCAGTTCCTGCCAGATTCCATCCTCTTTAGCTGCCGCAGATAGGCGCTCTAAGAATGTATTCTGCAATTGATTCACCCTGACAGCCGCTAGCTTAAGAGGATCCAAAACCAATTGACCTGGCCGAAAAAACATCTGTGGCTCCGGCCGCAAGGTTTCACCCCCCTCTTCAGGGCGGTGGTCCCAACGCCTAGATAGCACATCAGGTTTGCCGTTCTTTTCTCCCGGTCTGTAGACAACTTTGAAATTGTAGCCTGCTAGGTCCTCAGACCATCTAGCTTGCCGCCTAGTGAGAACTTTGGTAGAGTTGAAGTACTCCAAGTTCTTGTGGTCTGTGAAAACCGTGATCTCATGCTCACAACTCTTGAGCATATGCTCCCATTCCCGGAAAGAAGCTACAATAGCTCCCATTTCCTTATCATGAATGTCATAGTTGATCTCAGCCGGAGAGAATTTCTTAGAATAGAAAGCTACCGGGTGTAGTTTCCCATCTTCCCCATACTGAGAGAGCACCGCTCCTTTGGCAAAGTCACTGGCATCAGTTTCAACCACAGTTCTTCTGCTAGGGTCAAAATGGAGAAGGATTGGAGCGCTTGTGAATAGCCTCTTGAGTTCCTCAAATGCTTGTTTGCAGGCTGCGGTCCAATACCATTTCTTGTCATTTTGCAAGTGGTCGGTCAGAGGTTTGCAAACTTTACTGAAGCCTTCAATGAAGCGGCGATAGAAGTTTGCAAATCCCAGGAAGCCTTGCACTCCCTTAATATTTCGGGGTACTGGCCATTCCTGAACCGCCTCCACCTTATCCTCTGACATAGACACTCCTTTTTCCGAGATGTGATAGCCCAGGTATTCTACTTCTCGGACGTGGAAGGATGTCTTGCTGATGGAGGCACACAGTTTTGCTTCTCTGAGCTTCTGTAGGACCTTCTCAACTAGCCTTTCATGCTCTTCCTCAGTCTTCGAATAGATGAGGATCTCGTCGATATAGACAACCACTCCTTCATCCAGTAGTTCCTTTAGCACATCATTGATCATTGCCTGGAAGGCGGAAGGGGCGTTGCATAGACCAAATGGCATCACATTATACTGATACAGTCCATAGCGGGTTCTGAAAGCGGTTTTCCATTCATGCCCTTCTGCTATCCTGATCAAATTGAAGCCATTCTTCAGGTCTATCTTTGTGAAGATCTTGGCCTTGAACAACCTAGCCCTGAGCTCGCTCATGATAGGCAGCGGGTACTTCTCCTTGACAGTGACCCTGTTCAAACCTCTATAGTCAACACAAATTCTCCATATCCCATCCTTCTTAGGTATGAACAATATGGGTGCTGCTGCTGGGCTGTTAGATCTGGAGATCTTTCCTAAAGACAACTCTTTGTCTAGGTACTCCTGGAGGGCCTTCAACTCTGGAGCGGAACATGGGTAAAACGGGCCAAATGGGGGAACGGTACCAGGCAAGAGATTGATCTTCAAATCATTTCGGGAGTGCGGAGGCAGCTCCTGTATATTCTCTTGACTGAATACATCAGCCCATTCCCTATAGCGGAGAGGTATCCTTTCAGCGATATCTCCTCCATCCTCATCATACCATACTGAAGCGGCCAGTTGATATACTACATCTTCTTTTTCCATCATTTGGTATGAAGAGATGAGTTCAAACTTGATCGCTGCTGGGAGACAATCCTGCTTGCAGTAGTCACTCCACCAGCCTATGGTATTGAGTTCCAAATTGATATCCGGGTTATGCTTCCTTGCCCATGCAATTGGCAGGTAACCGGATATTCCTTCTTCCAAAGTAGCCACCTCTCATCGAAGTGTCTCCCTATGATCTCCCATGCTCATATGGACTGGGTGAGTGTAATACTCTCCTCCACCCATCATGATATCTTCTTGAGCATCATACATTGTCAAAGGTTGATCTCGCCGCACCAAGGGAACTCCATATTTCATGACAAAACTCTGGCTGAGGATCGCTCCTGTACAACCTGTGTCAAAGAGGAATGTCCCTTGGACGTCTTCAACTTTATTCTTGACCCTCCATGACAGTCTTGCTTTCAGTATTGGCCTCTTGCGATGTACTGGTAAGGATGGAAGCTTATCTTCCAACCTTCTTCGCTTCTGTGCGGGTTCTGGGCTTGATTCTCTTTGTCTTTTCTCCATTGCTAATAGCCGCGGGTGCTACTAAGATCAAAAGATCCTTTGGTTCTATTCCCAAGCGATGATAGAGCAAGTATATTTTGTGGTAGTCTGGTAGCGGTCAGAAGTGTCTTGTAGCAAATGTAACTTTGGCAGAGCACTTACAGACCAGCTGTTCCGGGTCATAAACCCATCCTCAGAGTGCTTGGAAACAATAAAATAGGCGGAAACACAAACATAATTTATTCAAGAGAAACAAAGAAACAAGACCCAAAAGAAAACTAGTAAACATGGACTCTAAACAGACACACTTTCTACCAGATGATTTCATTGTCCGAGTCTTGCTCAGGCTGAAAGACGAAATCTCCTGTAACCTCTGGGAGTACAACAAGTGGTTCCTCTGCTACTACAGCAGCCACTTTAGCCTTTTTCTGAGGATTGGGCTTGCCATTTCCTCTTTTCCGCTTTTGTACCCTCACTGCTGCCACTCGGACTACAGTAGGTTCCCTGGACCAACAATCGGTTCATTTGTGTCTGGACTTGCCGCACTATTGCACAAGTCAGTCTATGCACTCTACCAAGAGGGAGTACCGGAAGGTC